TCTGTTCTCCCCATGCCGATGGCCATCAGTATGACGGCTGCTGCTTTCTGGGTAGCGGTACCCATCTCCGTGGCGACCACCATCTCCATGGCGTGGGCTATCTCCATGGCGTGGACTATCACCATGCCGATTGCCACTTTCTCCGTGACTGTGACGGCTGCCACTCCGGTTCTCAGTGTATCTCTCTCTTTTCCCATTGCCACCCCCAATCCCTTCCCGGTTATTATTGCCTAAAGCTGTGTTGTTGACTCCTTGGGCTCCAGCAGAAGGGTAGGTCACTGGAGCACTGCTGATGTTCCCAGCATTGCCAAAGCCTGGGATGCCCTTGGCAGCACTGGTGATGGGGCTGTCAGGGTTGTTGTGGCCCTGCTGTGCTGAATTGGTTGGAACAGAATTCAAGCTTCCTGCACTAGTCCATCCACTTGCCCCCGCAGCAGAGCTCCCGGCCTTCTGATTGTTTAAGCTGGCGGCAACAAAGTGACTCTTGTACTGTGACTGAAAGAAAAGACACCAGGAGTAGGGAAGTTAGCAAGTTCAAGAAACTCAAGTATATAAGCTTGGCAATTAAGTACAAAGAGACTCTAAGTATGCCACTTTGGCCTTGTGACTTCAGTATCATGATGGCCCCACAGCACAGTCCCTTTCTTTTTTTTGGTGTTTGTTTCTGCTACAGGATATGTGCATTCACCAGAAAGAAACAGGGTGTGTATGTGTGTGAGAGAAATCAGCTCCCAAGAGAATGGCCATACCACCATCCCTTCATTCTCCCCTTGGGATTCTGGCCAAGTACGCACATACACCCAGAGTGATTTTCAAGCTACTGAGTCTAAGACTTGAACCACAAAGTCAGCCATGAGGGACCCAGTGCCTTAACCTCTATGCCACTTGCTGGCCCAGCACAGTCCCTTTCTCAAGATGTAAGGAAAACTTATGGAGAGACACACCTCAGTGTAGTATTTACTTTTTTAAAAAAAAATAATTATTTATTTATTTATTCATTCACTTTTAATTCGACCAGAGAGAGACACAGAGAGAAAGAGACAGAGGGAAAGTGAGAAAGCAAGCCACCAGGTCCGGGACTCGAACCATGGTCAACCATGTGGGAGTGTCCAGTGCCTTAACTACCACGCCACTTGCTGGTCCCGTAACATTTACTTTTATAGCCTGATTGGCCAGGACAGAAGCATTTGTGAATATAGAAGCAATTCCAACACTGTCTGCAATGTTTTTCACAACTCAAAAATCCAAAAGTTACCAAAAACTAGAATAAATTTGAAAGCAAAACTTGCCTTAAATTATAAGACTTTACATGGTGGTGGCTGCAGGCCTTGTTGGGGTGTTACTATGAAATATGCACACCTTTCTCAAATCTGAAAAATCTTGAATTCTAGAACAAGGATTTCTATGTTCCTGTATAAAATATGCAAATTAAGGACCAGTAGATGGCATAGCAGTTACGTTGTTGGACTCCCATATGGCCGACTGTGGCTTGAGTCCTGGACCTTGCAGCTGGAAATTCATGCGTGGCACGTGTGCGCCCAAGATCCCGAGAGAATGGAGTAGAAGGGACTGTGACCATTCCCCCGGAAGGTCATTTCTCGCTTTCCATCTATGTCTCTGGCAAGTACACACACTATAGCAAAGATCTCTCTAAAAAATAAAGTGCAAATTAAGGCCTTGTGGAGCCAGCAGTTGGCATAGGGGTCCATTGCTGGACTCCCCACAGCAATGACTGACTGCAGTTTGAGTACTGAACCTGGTGGCACACATGTGTGAACATGCATGCCCAAGATGCCTGAAGAGGAATGGACGAAAAGGGATTGTGGTGTGGCCATCCCCCAGGGAGTGATTTCTCACTTTCCCTCTCATTCTCTCTCTCCAAGCGCACATACTCTAATATATGTATAAATAAATATATGTAAATAGGAATAAAATTAAGGCCTAGCTAATTAGATGCCAGCCAACGAAGTGTAAGTGTAGTACAAATAAAATAGGCTCAGGATTCACAAGAGATAACAACCACCTAGAGATCACAAACAGCCTTGGGGAGGCAGCCCCAAGCCATTAGGGAGGAAACAAACCCCACTGCAGCACGACAGCTCTGTTCGGGGTGTGACTAAAGGAAGTGACCACTCCTAAAGCCTTCTGCAGCTCCAAGTAAGCTACTGTGAGGTTTATATTTGAAATCCAGACAGTGAGAAGGCCCTAAATCTAGCATCAAAGCTATAAGCCCAGCTACCACCTCAGGAGGGTGAGGCTCCTTATCACTGCCCCAGAGTTACTCCCCAACACACTTAACCAAATGCTCTTTCGGACCTGGAAAGCTGCTTTCATTGCTGTCAGCCGATCTCCCATGGCTCCTGTGGAGGGTTTGTAGGCCTCATAATTGCTCATTACATTGTTGTTATTTCCTCGGTCCTAAAAAACAAATATACTCATGAGGGTTGAAAATAAGTCAGAAAGCCCATTGTCCCATACTGGGATTCCTTGTACTGGTAACTCAAATTGGCAGCTTGGTGGGAATGTTGCTACATATACTTTGGGAGAAAAGGTGCAGTAATGAAGAGTCAAAGATCCTTCTGCCCCTCAATCCAGAAATGTGGTCAGATTATACCTAAAGCCGACAAACACAAATGCATTCAAACAAGTAAAATTTATATCAAAGATGAAATGATACATGCTTAGGCTCTGAATCGAGACTATGGGCCTGAATCTCAGCTTCAGCACCCAGCAGTATATAACCAAGGGCCTCAGTTTTACTGTGTGTACTTACTTATACTGGGTAGTTGTGAAGACTGAGTTAAGATGTGTGATTATTTGGAATGGGTTTTGTCCAAATAAAGCTATCAGCAAATAAATGCAGGCTATGGCTATCATCTACACCATCACCATCATCACTGTAATTTGCGAAAAGAATTTTTCTAAATCAACTATGCCAAATTATCTAACTATTGTATAATGCTCCAGAAAAGTAAAATGGCAGCTTTCTGCCCTGGCTTAGGAATCAAAGTGACAGAAAATAGGCATTTAAAAAAGCCAGAGAGTAGATGCTCTTGTTACCTGGTGAGAAAAAACTAGCTCTTACCTCTCTGATATGATTTCCCAGAGAGCAGGGATCATTCTTCAGTTTAGGGACAAGACATAGCCAGGGTAGCTACAGCAACTCTCTGGCACCATTTCCCTAGCTGTGGGCTCTGGACAAGGGTTTAGGGAATGCAAAACAGACTGCGGGGCGCTACCTCCGGTTTCTGATTCAGTAAGTTTCAGCATGTGCTGCTGGTCCAGGGACCACAATTTGCAGAGGGTGGTGAGTGGTTAAGGCACTGGACACCCACATGGCTGCCTGTGGTCTGAGCCCCGGATCTGGAGGCTTGCCTTCTCTGTCTCCCTCTCTGTTCCTCTCTGTGTGTCTCTCTGGTCTAATTAAAACATATTAATAATAATGATAAATAAAACTAAATAATTTTTTTTTATAAAAAGGAAAGTTACATTAAGAACTAGCACTGATGGGACCAGTGAATGGTGTAACGGTTACATCACTGGACTCTCAATAAGTTGACCATAGTTTGAGTCCTGGACCTGGCAGCTTCAACTCACACAGGGTGCATGTGCATGCATGCCCAAAATCCCGAGAGGGGAATGGAGAAGGGACTGCGGCATGGCCAGCCCCTTGGGGTGTGACTTCTCACTTTTCTCAGTCTTTCTCTGGTGAGCGTACACCAGAGCAAAAATATCTAAATAAAAGAAGTAGCACTGGGCCCAGTCTTACCTTGTTTAGTCAGTACTGTATAGGGCTACAATACTGGCAGCCTCCTGACTGACTGCTAGTTCAAATTCCCTGTCAATCTGAAAACCAGCAGAGGGCCCACACTGGTACCCAAAATCTTAAGGAGCTAGAGGGATGGGGCATGGGGATCACAGCATGATGAAATCCTGTTGAGGGTGCTCAATCACTTTTTTGTGTGTGTTCTCTTATGATAAAGCGCTGCACTGACTCAAATCAGATTAAATTCAAGTACCTTTGTTCTTGTTATTTTTGAGAGTTTTTTTACTACAGGGCGCGTGCGCTCACAGAAAGACAGATTCTCCTCTCAGGATCTTGGGCACGCACATGTGCCGGCCTGAGATTAAGCCACTGAGTCCGAGACTCAAAGCATGGTCGACTACATGGGAGTCCAGCGACATAGCCATTATGTCAACTGCTGGTCCCAAAATTTAAGTACCTTTCTAAACAGTGTCAAATGAGGCCTCCCTTAGGTAGACGAGAGCAATTCTAACGTCACCCAGGACGTGGAACCAAGGGCACCGTAGTGTGGACTCACCGTGTTCTCGGAGCCTAGGCCAGGTCGCTCCCTGTAGCCTAGGCCTCCTCCACCAATATTCAGCTTTTTGCCTTTCCCTCCTTTGAAGCGTGATTTCCGAAACCAGGCATTCTGTAGTAAACACAATTAGAGGTTAAGCCATAGAAGGAGAGAAAGCCAGAGGAAGGGGAGAAGGTCAAAGAGGAAATTACGTGGGAGGGAAGAACATTCTGCTTCAACTTTAGCCAAAGGATTTAAGGGAGGAATTGTTCACAGAATCACAGATTGGCCTGCTTTTGGTTGCTTAGTCCACCAAATTTGTCAGGAGGCAGATCACGTTCTAAGGTGTCTTTCCTGTTTCTTCCTTAGGCGCTTTTGGAAGGGAAGTGCTTCACATCAGATAAGCTTCACATCAGAGTAGCCACTATGGCCACTTTAAACTTCCCAAAGGAAAATAAATGTATTCTTTAATTTTCCAAGTAACCTCCACATACTAATAGATATAACAACTTGGAACTTAATTTTAAAGAATTGGTAGATTAAGAAGTAAAGGAAAAGAGCTACATGAAGTGAGGCTCATCAGAATTGACATAAGGACAGACTCACAGGAAGGACTGGCAGCCACACAACTGAACATTTTTTATTTGGAAGGTTGTTACCCACCAGAGGTATTCACAGTCTCTTAGAATACAAACATCTTTGTGGAGCTGAAAGTTTTACCTGACACATTGCTCAAAGTAAAGTACTTAAGAGGTAGGGCAGGCTTGGAAAAAGTGCTAGGGGCATAAAAACAGATGTAAGAAAATGCCAAGGACAAAAATTGTACCCTGGTTAAAATCTGAATTTAAAATTGGCTCTCTAGGGGCTAGCAGGTGGTGTGGTGGTTAAGGGTGCTGGACTCCCACATGGCCAACCGCAGTTTGATTCCCAGACCTGGCAGCTTGCTTTCTCACTTTCCCTCTCTCTTTCTCTCACTCTGTCCTTCTCTGGTCAAATTTAAATAAACAAACAAACAAATTTGAGTAAAATAATTCTTAAAAGAACTGTCTGTCTAAACCTAGAAGGGGAGGAAAACTGACACTCTTCTCTCTATAGGTCCTTTATTCTGAGGACCAGAACATCGGGTACTACCACCCTAAAATTGTCTTATGAACTAACGGTGTGTAGACCGGTAGTCACCTATGGATGTGGCAAACACTTCAGTCTCTACTATCAAAATGTGTTCTGATCCATCTGTAATTTGGAGACCACACGTATAAAGACGACCAGGGTTTCACTTGACAAGATGCCTCACCCAGTTTTGAGCACTCCTAGAAGAAGGCATCAGTGTGGCTAGAGATATGAGAGCAAAATCTGCAAGGAATAGTTAGGAAGAATCTCGTACTGCTTTTTAAGAAAAAAAAAAAGATACCATGTTATTTTCAAGCCACTGGCCCCAGGACTTGAATCCCAGCTTAACCACTATGCCACCTGGTGGCTGCGATATCAAATATTTTCAGCCTTCTAAAAGAGTAAACTTTTCTGGGGGAAGGGCAGTAGAGAGAAGAGTAGTCATTTCTAAGATTAAATTTACTACTCATCCATGCGCTGTGGTGTGAGCAGACCAAAATCCTAAGACACACTTTTAGCACAAAGAAAGTTTTCAACATTTTTTTTTTTCTTGAGAGGTTTTTGTTATAGAGCACATATGCTCGCCAGAAAGACAGAGAGACAGAAAGTGAGAAATCACCCCCCAGGGGGGATTGGTCATGCCACAATCCCTTCTCCTCCATTCTCCTCTTGAGATCTTAGGCACGCACGCACATGCGCCCAGCGTGGGTTCAAGCCACCGGGTCTGAGACTTGAACCACAGTCAACTACATGGAAGTTCAGTGACACAGCCATTATACCAACTGCTGGTCCCCAAAAGGTTTTTGAAAAGAAAGGATGAGAAGACCATATGAATTTTAATATCCCACAATTCCAAACTGTACCTCATAAACCTCACCTACCACTTCCTACCACCATGTTCTTGTCAAGTATTATCTGACTCAGGCATGCTGAAATTTCTTACTAAGTTTTGCAATCTGAAGTATGTCCAGCACCCACCTGCATTGCCAGATCTAGGAGTTCCTTGGAAACATGTTGATTGGCTCCTTCCAAGTTCCGGACAAGATCACCAGCAAAATTGCTGTCCTTGGGTGTCAGTAAGGTATAGGCCACACCCTTCTCACCCGCCCTTACTGT